TTGAGTGGGAGAGTTACTTTGTGTTTCATAGCTGCACGAAAGATGCATCAACGTCGTGCTATACACAATGAATGCTGTTACGTAACTCTTTTCTACAATCACTCTTATGTACCGAGCAGTAAAATGTTGTTTCATCAATTATTGTTTCGCGTCGCTCGTCTTTCGGCCGGCACTGACATGTCGCTATGATTGAGAGAAATTCTATCAACTTTCCCCTACCTCATTTATATATATCAAATTACTGACCCGTTTACAAATGTTTACGTGGGAATTTTGTTTGTCCGATTCTAATTCTATTGGCCAAAATGGCATGGTGAACCGTCATTGTGAACCTCTACGATGCACGCTACAATAAAGTTGGGATTTTAAGGGATTGTAACGTGGCCTCTTAATTATTGTCGCCGGTACTTTCGGTGGTCTATGTTAAGCAGAATACACAAGAAAGTGTGGATTCGTAAGTTAAGAATTCACGAGGCACGAAGCGCCGAATCTTTAGTAAAGTGTGGATTCGGAATTACGAATCCACACTTTGAACACGTCGGACTTTTGTTCTCCATAACGAGCATGAATAGGACCGTCTGCGTGAAAATTTGCTTTTCGAATATTACCAATGCATCTTCACTTTACATTCTCAGCCGTCACTCCAAAATCTACTTTTAGTCCGAAAGAAATCGTCGCCTGAACTATCCATTTTGACTAAGGAGCCTATACACATAAAATTACTTGGTTGTAAGGGTGTGGCGATACACATGCTAAACACGCCAGGAAAAAAATGTTGCAACCTGACGCCACTTCTGCAATTGTGTACAAGGGCTACGAAGAGTCGTTTCAAGTATTTCCTAACAAAATTGGAAACATTTCTCAGTCCCAGATTCATAAATTATGGTCATTTTTGCAACGAATGACCTTGACTGAGATGATATATGAAGGAAAAAATGGCGTCAGGTTGCAACATTCTTTCCAATACTTCTGTTGGCGCAATGGTTTAAGTCGAAGAATACACTCGCAAGTGTGGATTCTTAATTTACGAATTCACTCGGCGCTTCGTGCCTCGTGAATTCTTAAATTACGAATCCACACTTTCTTGTGTATTCTCCTTAACTGAATCCACACTTTGTGACCAGTGTAAGAGATTCGTAGATCCGAATCCACACTTTTAACAAAGACTGAGATGAAGGAAAGAACGTCTCAGTATAGCTAAAGCATGGCATCAGACACACTGTTCTGAATATTCGTCTCAAAACACTAAACCTTTCGTAGTTACAATAGCTTTTATGCACTCACGGTGGCCCCCTTTTAATGGCTCTGGCGTTGTGTCAGCTATATCGAATAGAGCAACTGATCGATGACGGTTATTCTTAACAAATGCTAGCCCAATGCGTTCGCTTCGGTGAGAGATAGCCTGCCAAGATTGGTCTATACCCAGACCCTCAAGGTATCAGTGATACCCCAGGCTAGCACATTTAGCTACAACATTTTGTTGGGCAAAAATACTGATAAACATGTATGTGAACAAGAGTAATCACCAACTGCACGTGCACGAGAGTTGATAGGAACATCCGGCAAGTAAAACGGGCAACCACACATTGTACCTGACATGTTCAAGTTCAAAGGTTTGGGTATGAACAGGTACCTTAAGCTTATGCAGACTAGGGAACAAATAATTGTTACTAGAACAATACATAAAAGTGATGCATAAAGCGCTACTCACCGTCTAACGGGTAAAAGTGTGTGTTTCCCCTCCTGATCCCCCAAGCTTTACCAAACAGCACATACAAAGAGTGAAATGTCCAGACTTTCGGCAGCTAAACCGACAGAGATTGATTGTAAAATTTCTCCTTTATGTCAGACATAGTACAAATTTATACTACAACACTCCCAGGAAATGCAAGTAATGTACTTGCGGGGGGGGGGGGGGAGGTTCATTAGCAAAAAAAATCTGACATGTAGACAGGTTTTTTTCTCCGGACATTTGCCCTCCAAAAATCAATAGGTGGGGAGTGTGGGAGGGGGGGGGGGGGGCTCGTATTATACTTTTTATTGGGGCGCTGTTCAAATCCGAGGATTATTAACACTATATTACAGAAAGTGTACAAATACACCCTAGCTGGCTCTGTCCATATTTGTGCACAGTCTGAAACTATTTCAAGGATATTTTGTTTGGGTGTCAGAGCAGATGGGGGGTGGGGGGATTCCGCATTTTTTTAAATGAATTTCTATGAAAACATATTAATTTTGGACAGACCTGGGGAGGGGGCGTCTGTAAGCGTCTGCAGCACACAATTCCAGGGAATTTAGTTATAAAAAACACTTGGTTCAAGTTGAAACCTTTTGGACTCCAATCAGGTTATTGGTAGTTTATTGTTCAGTTTTCTTTATTTTTTTATTGGGTGAAACATATTGCAAGCATATTTGTGTCTTCATTATATTGGGTATCATTATTGAACTTGCGCACCTATGTGCATGTTCGACAGTCAAGTAGCGCCCCCTGCCGCTTATAACGCTTATAACTTCCAAGTATGGATCGCCGATAGAGTGCGCCAGTTTGTTTCGCTCGTATCCGGTTTGCAGGGCAGGGGTACGAGCGAGGCTATTTGTGTGTGTAAAGGTGGCAGCAGATGGAGTTGCGACTTGACTTTTACACACTGCTCACAACGTGTGAACGCCTCCAAGTAAAACTGTGGTCAAGACGTCACCACGAAACGTCTTGGTCCTGGCTTCCTGCTGCTACAATCATGTGGGGATGTATTCAATGTGAAGACTGTGTCAAAGACTCAATATGAAACACGCGACGGGTACCAGTCGTCAAAGAGGGACTGCCTCAAAGGATCATGTGATTGATATCACGAATTCATACATTGATCCATTTGGAATTCACTCAAGGTGAGTGCATAAGTTTTAAAAATATCAGTTCAATATCAAGACGAGGCCCTTCAGAGGACATTTCGAACAGTATACACTCTACAGATTATATATCAAAATAAGGTTCACTTCACACCTTCGACTATAAAAATATCATGACAAGGGCAATATTTTGCATTGCTGTTCATCAACAATTTTTTATTTCTGAGTAAAACATACACACGTTTACTAAAATTAAATGTATTATTTTACAACAAGATTGATATTATGAAGGTTTTGCAAATTATAAAAATTATGTTAAAACCAGACGGACATTTCTTCCCCCGTATATGTGAACAAGACACGTTTGCCACTAACAATATCAAACAACACACCGATTATGTTCATGCTATGGGCGTAAACCCGGGGTTGGGGGGGGGGGAAGGATATATCCCACCATTTTTTGAGCAGGGCCATTGGATCATCTCCAGATCAAGAAACAAGAGAAAAAAGAGGTGGGTTTGAGGTTATCTTGTATTGTAGCTTTCTAACAGTCCAAATGAAAATTCAATAGGCCTGAAAATCAGAGAACAAACGGTTTAAAAATGTAGCATTTTGCTGTAAGATTAACTGAGGGACGTAAGCGCGTTAGTTTGCATAAAATGAACATTTGTATCATGAACAGCGCCCCCAGTGTCATGTGCTGTCAAGCCCTCCCCCACCTAGCTTTCAGAATTTCTACGGCGGGGCAATTTTATGATTTTTAGTCATCCCCCATCCCCCCACTCGCCAACTCGGATTTACGCCACTGGTTCGTACGTTGACTCCAACTAAACGACTCATCCAACCCACCCCCTTGAAAAATGTTGGACTTCGATACGTTACCCTTAATTCCCTGTTAAGAAAATCTTGGATCCCCCACTGGTTTATGCCATTTTACATTATGGTTCACCGTCATAAAACAACTCAGGCAAAAGCTGACTCATTTGAAAAGCCTAAGAACCTAACTATCATATCGGCTTTCCTTCTGACATGTATGGAATTCTAAAGACAAGTCTTTCACATTGTAACATTTCAAAATGTTTGATAAAAATTCAGGCATTCCATTGAAAGCCTATACAAAAAACGTATCATAAAGAAATTGTCAAGATATCCGATGAATGACCATTATTTATACAAGAGGAGATATTTTCAAACAATCATTAATTCATGTTGGACCTACTTTAGACAGCTCTGAAGTCCTCGTGAGGAACTTCTTAAGTGTAATTTTCTCCCCTTAAAAACAAAACATTCACTTAGAATCAGAACTCAATCATCTGTGTATTATGTATATCTGTCTTCAGCAATTATGTTTAAAACTGTGTACAAAGGATATCATTATGTGACTTTATGTGACTTTTCGTTATACACCACAAATCCAGTAAAAATATTTGACTAAATACTGAGTATATACGGCCTTAAAGAAAATATGGAATGATATGATACATGAACTAGCATCACTTCTTATAGCAACCAAATATCAAACTCAATCATCTGTGTACTATGTATATATCTCTTCAGCAATTATGTTTGAAAGTGTGAACAAAGGATATCATTATGTGACTGTATGTGAATTTTCGTTATACCCCACAAATCCAGTAAAAATATTTGATTAAACACTGAGTATAAACGGCCTTAAAGTAAATATGGAATGATATATAAATCAACGAGCATCACTTTAGTTTTTGATACCAACCAAATATCAAGCAGTTTACTTTTTCTGGTTTTACTCTTCCCAAAAAGCAATTAAATGTATCTCAGTGAGAACAAAACACACTGTACAATAAACATTAAAACAAACGCTATTGCAACATTTTCTTCCAAAGCTAAATTCAAGTTCTTCGGTTATAAATGTACTACAAAATGTGTACCTACAATTGGCGGCGCCAGAATTTTTTCTAGAGGGGGGCAAAACATATTTCCCCCCCAAAATTCCTGTATTTCTCAACATATTCTCGGTTTCTCAGTTTTAGGGGGGGGCAGGGACATTTTGCCCCCCCCCACTCATTAAATTTACACCACTATGACTTAGCGCCTCTTCTTTTTTTTGCTTTTCCGGGGGGGGGGGGGGCAAGCACCCCCCTTGCCCCCCCCCCCCCCCCCCCCCCCCTTGTGACGCCCATGGTACCTACCACAACCTTTCCGAACACTTCAATAAAGCCTCGCTTTGCTATTGTTCAGAAACTTACTTTTCTTCTTCTTGGTTAGATAAATCTTTCATTACAATTACATGAACTTCAAAGAATATATACGCCTGTAAAGTGATAACCATTAATTTCAAACACTCTTCACCCATGTAAAAGTAATAAAATGTCAGCAAAAGTATAAACTTGTAGGCCTTTATCAAAATTAAATTTTGTCTGGAAGATCTGTGCATGTACAGATGTGCTAAAAAGTGCAACATTCAGAAAACACAATTTAATAATTAAAACCGTTTAATGTTTTTCCTTCAATGACATTATATATTACATTAACGCCTGACTGATTCTCAATCCACTTCTTTTTACCCCATTCATTTTGGGTCCCTAGATCCAGAAATACAATCAATCAAGTGAAAGGTTGTACATTTTACTTGGGCCACTCTCAGCGAAAATCGCATTTTCGTAAGCGCTGCCAGACTTGTTCATGTCATCACTCGCACTCTTAGAGGTTGTTGTTTCGCGAACCTCACATTCATTAGCGCTATCAGACTTGTCCACGTTATCACTCACACTCTCATTAGAAGTTGCTGTTTCGAAAACCTCATATTCATTGCCAGACTTGTTCATGTCATCACTCGCACTCTTAGAAGTTGTTGTGTCGCGAACCTCACATTCATTAGCGCAATCAGACTTGTCCACGTCATCACTCACACTCTTAAAAAAAGTGGTTTCGCGAACCTCATTTTCAGCGCTGTCAGACTTGATCATGTCATCACTCATACCATTAGAAGTTGTTGCTTCGTAATTTTCATTTCCAACCATTTCAGACTTGTTCATGTTATAACTCAAACTTTTAGTCGATGGATCTTGCACGGAACTGCCCTCTCCTCTGGTGCTAATCGTGTACTTACCAGTACGGAAGGTGCTGCTCAGGTGTCCCTCCTTCTTTCCTCTTACCAGGTTACTCACATGTTCTCGGATCTTCTCCTGGCGAACGACAAACAGCAGAAAGATGAGCAGGCCCTGAAGTGAGTTCACCACAGCAAAGATCCACTGGAAGGCGAAACTGGAAGCATCGAAGATGGACAGCAGACCGAAGACCCAGGTCAGGCCCAGTAGGACAGAGACTGAGGCCATGTTCTGCAGGCGCTTCACGACCTTAGTTCGCTTGCTGTTACCCTCGGAGGTGTCCTTGATTTTGCTCGCACTGCAAGTCAGCTTACGGAGGACGAGCACGAAGACGACAACATTGAACAGGAGGATGATACCAATGATGAGCAGCTGGCCGTAGTAGAAAGCAGCCCCAGGCTTTAAGAAGCAACTGAAGGGTACAAATAATAACAATAATGTCAGCCCACAGTCTTCGGGCACCTAGGTAGAGCCTGCACTGACTTCATGTTATGAGGACAGACAATGGCTTCCCATCCTGTGAGATTTCATCGGTACAGTATACGCTTCATAACGATTCTTACTTTTGTGCAGTCTGACTGAAAGATCCCATTAGAGTAACCCTAAAATGCCATTTTGGTGTGATGTTTCCTGATGGATGCCTTGCTAAGTCTACAATTTAGACCTTACATGGTTGTCTTTCAAATAATCGGCTACGACCACGAGAAGCAAGGAGAATTATAATCTTCTTGGCACATTGAATGTCTGCTCAATAACCTGTGTTGGGCATTTTGTTGGCGAATCGTACTTCAATTGAAACAGCAGAACCAAAAACCCCAACCACCATGATTATATCTTCAAAGCAACTCGTTTGAAACTAAGATTTATGCCATTCATGTACCTGTGTTCATTATCGTACTGCTCATGATCCACTGCCAAAATCACAGTGATGACAAGTGCAGGAAATCCTGCAAGTTTAAAAGAGAAATATGAGAATAATTCAGCTGATGACTTGTACCAGCCCGCATAAGGCCTAAACCGTCATACAATAACAAGAAAGCAATTAAGATATTAAGAATGAAAACGAGTGATCAAACATATCCGTAATAGAGGTCTTCAAAATTGATTTTATATTCTTCTGATAGATATGCATGATCCATAGGATAAAGTTTGTAATTATCAGATGGATAGGATTTTAAAGAACACTTGAGCGCACTGATCGAGGTAGCTACCGGTGATGTGTTATGTATACATACAAGATGGCTACCCACACAAAGAACCAAATCACATGCTTGCATGCGTGTACACGATAATAGAGGGCACTGTGCATAATTACTGGTACAGTTCAATGACCCCTATGAATGCATACATTCATTACAAAGCGTACTTGAAAATAATGTTTTTATCCTACGTATGCTCGGAGCATAGATTAATATCTTGTGTTTCCATCTCATTGGCCTCGTGGCGCAATTGGTTTCCATGGCACATTCCCCAACCAGCCAAATGTCTCACAAGTGATTTACGTTGTGCTATATACCTACCCCAGGCTACAAGGGACGCCTTGATCATGAAGTGCTGCACGTCGGCATTGAATATCTTGACCAGCTTCAGGTACAGGTTAGCAGCCTCCACGCCCATCCATGCCACGGAGGTCAGGGCAAAGAAGTGCATCAAGACAGCTGCAGCGATGCATCCAGCGCGGGAGGAGGAGGAGGTCTTCTCGACACCTGCCAAGAAGACGAGATACAGGAGCAGCAAGGAGCAGCAGAAACTGATGAGGATACGGCTGGCTGTCTTCGATCTCAACGACCTATTGTTGGATTAATGGGGAAACATTCTGTGACTCAAAATGACTAAACTGCTCGTCAGCTGAAATCGCAAAATATACGTGAGATTGTTGTTGTATGGTCAGGCATGGGCAGGTGAGAAAGGAATACATTGTCTATACCTCAATCAGACCTTGATTGCAATCAGCATTGTTAGCACACAAAGTTGGAAGGTGCATCAATTACCTTATGGCCGAATATATGAGGATGGTGATAACGAGTGACACGATAGAGACACTACATCCAAGCTTGCTGATGACATCCAAGGCAAAACTGGCATACTTCTGACCGTGAATATTCTGCGAAGGAACACACGAAAGAATAACATTATGGGATAGTGAAAGTATGCATGCAAAGCTTCCATGTCACCCGAAATGTTGTGAAGTTCCCTTGAAAATCAGATTTTAAAGAGCCTCCCTTAGAGCCAACACTCTCTTATCTTCAACTGGGTTCCACCTCTGTGTATGTCTCTACGTCCATGCACGATGCTAATCGATGCCCCTCATATCCTAGTACTAATCAATTCTCTTTGGGAATATGCAACCCTCCAGGTGAATCACACTTGAGAAGACTTACTGTTGGTCAAAAATAAATGTGTATATACTGTCTCACCACAAGTACAGCGAAGTTGGTGGCGTGGTCACACAGGCATACTGTTCGCCCGTTGACGGCAGGTCCCTTCCTGCAGCCTTCAGTCGACCAATCACCGATGCCGTCACGAAGATTGAAGTCCCAGAAGACACATTGCTCCAATCGATTTGGGTCTTCATTGGGACCTGTCACCTGTTATTGACACTGGACTATTACAATTATTTCAAGTTATGTTAATGAATCATGACGATAGATTGTGACCAGTGCCAAATGTTTCGTCTCAGCAGTGCAGCCCTAAATTAATTGCTGAACTACATGTATATTAATGTTCACACTTTCTACAGGTACTATGAGATGGAACTAAATAGCACTATACCTACAAGCTGGAGGGAGCAATTTGCACAGGTGTTTTCACATTGTTTTTCTGAAACTGAAACACCTATTTGGTACCCAAGCTGTATAGCATGTACATTTTGCTTGTAAGACGAGTTCAGACTTAGGCCTAGTACTCTGTACACATGTTTAAGCTTTTATGAATGATGAATTTTAATGATTGTATGGTGAAAAATGTATTAAAACAAAAATACGGGTGCAAAAAGGAACCCTTAAACATCTGAAAAAAATTTTGGTCTAAGAATACTTGTTAAGTCAAAAGTAAACAACTCTTGTCTCATCCTGTCCTGGCTCTTGCATCTGGAATTTTATCATTCTATAAATGCAGAGTCCAGAGTCTGGTATATTTTTGGTTTTTTGTAATTTGCTATTCATCTTTCGTTAAAATAGTTCAAAATGATTCTTATTTGTCGAGTACTGGTATAGTTTGCTTTTAATATAATCACTCTTGGACTACATCAGAATTATAGAACCATAGATGACAGATGTAACAGGGACAAGAAAAGAATGTATACCCCAAATGTATAGAGTGACCCGGATATGAGCAGCTCAGAATATAATGCGATAATCAAGTCATCGGACTAAAGTCCAATTTATAAGTCTTACCTGACTTACTTGCAGGTTGAAAGCGTTGACCACGGGACTTTCAGGCGGGAGGCCATTGATGACAGTATTCAGCACACTGGCAGATACGATACGACTGCCGATGGTAAGGGGAGTGTCCGTGGACTGGCTGTTGTCTACCATTTCGGAGTGGAAGAGGTTGCTGCTGTCATACATGACAAAACTAATTGGCACGGCGCTACCTGATAGCAAGTGGAAAAACAATACAGAGGAAAGCAGGGAATCATAAAAAATGAGAATATATGATTTTGTCTTAAACCATATGTCAGATCTCTAGAGTGATAGGTCAAAATTCCTCAAGTGTGACATTAATTTTTCCTGTCCCTTTTTTCCCTTGGTATTATGTAATTTGCTGTTCAAGTAAAAACAAAAGTGCCTTTTACGATTACGATTTTTTAATAAAATTTGTTCGGTAAGTGGGTAGTTTGCTATATCATAATCATCAGATTTACAAAAGCATACATGTAAGATGGAACAGGGACAGGAAAAAAGTGGATCCCAAATGTATAGAATGACCAGATGTGATTTTCCAAAACCCCATTATCATCACAATAAATATTGATTTCTTAATATCTATGGATATATTTTCCTTTTCAACAGTAACGACTGACCTTAGTACACTTTGTATGTATGCAAAAGAAAAAAAAAGAATTTAGACGGGGTTTTGGACATCTCTTGATAAACTCACATTTGTGCTCACATTTTCTTCTCAGAGTTACAAACAAGACAGTGCTGTATCAAAGGTCAGTCAGAAACTTTGGAAGATAAATTAACACATCTGATTCGGACAGCAAACATTTCAATGACACTGCGTCTTAAACCTTTAAGTCATATAATTCTTAGGGAAAACAGGTTTATTTGTTCTTTTGGATGTGCATTTTAAGTTTGTCCCAACTTGACAATCCGCCAGTGTTAAAAGCGTACTTACCAGGAGGATGATTCTTCAGTATCTCTGCAGGGAGTTCTATGGATGCTTCCACCTCCTCCAAGGGGATCTCATCATCGGAACCTTGGTAAACATCAATGTCGTCATCGGCCAGGGAATCGCTGTCGTTTCCCCCAGAAATAGCCCCAAACCCAACCCCGTTGCTGAGTAACTTGGGGTCGAAATTCATTGCCACGACAGCGACGCTGGTAGTGATCTCGCTGACGTTCTTTCCTGCCGCGAGGACGTTGGAGATTTGCTTCTCTAAGGCTTGGACAATACGCGAGGAGGAATTGGCCACTCTTGACGTGTCGTTGAATTTCTTGGCATCAACTTGAAGGAGGTTATTGACCACCTTGACAACACTCGCTGTCACCTGTTTAACAGTGCACAGATTTAGAGTACAACTATATAAGCTCTGGCAACTCGAGTTTCTACAAGTCACTTTGGTGTCGGTCGGTCACCAAACGAAAATGACCAAAAATGAACCCTCTCAAATTGTCTCATAAAAGTTTACTATAAGTGCCAAATTTTAATTGTCCAAAAAAAATCAAACAACGTACATTAAATACTTGACAATAATTGTTTTTAACAATTTGTGAAGTTGTTTTATGAAAGTTGTGTAATTGGAGGCAAGATAATTTGTGATAATGTTATAGTCAGGTGATATTTTTGTACGCTTCAAACTTAGGAAGTTAGGGGGCTTCTACACATATGTCACTATACATCACCCCTGCCTCTGGCCCTGTGTCAGTTTAATGAGTCTCCAGGGCGTAGGAGTGAGGACAAAGTTGCATTATGTAGGTCACTATTATTTTGCATTGTGACTTTCAACAAATGGGAAAATCTTATTTCAACTGCCAATCACGACCATGCTAGACGGCCAGAGCTTAATGTGCAGTTGCACTTGTTTTTGCGAAAGCTCGCTCGTCAACGTGACAAACAAGCTTTACAGTTTTACCAAATGATATATACTTCGTGACTAAGAGTGAAGTAAAATATAAAGATATCCTATCGTGCATTTTTGTTTCTTCGCAACTACCTTGTACAATGTACATGCAAACAACGTATTACCTTCAATGAATTAAACAATTTTATAGTTTTACATAAATATCACGGAGTCTCTTGTGTAGCTTACCTCTGGCGACGTGTCTTGAATGTTCACAATGTTATCCAGAATGTCAGCGGCAGAGGCTACCGAATTGTCATCGACTGAAGACGTGTCATTGGTCAACGTGGCGAGAGATTCAGCTGTTTGCTCCACATTATCCTGAGTCACCATGCTATTTATCTAAAGTAAGTAACATGGGAAAAAGAAAACGAAGAGATTATTAATTTGAGTTTGGGTTTAGGTTGAGATTGTTGTGCAAAGAGAGTCAGTGATCGGATCGGTCAAAGGTAACAGTTATTTGGTTCATACACTTTAATAAACCCATTTAATAGAGTGACTGTATCAGTATAATGACAACAAAGGACGATGGGAAAAACCTTTTTTTTATATAAATATTGCTGTCTCTTCGCAAAAAGAGACCATGCAAAAGGAGCACTACTTCTTTAACAACAATAACTTCACTCAAATTTCACTCACTTTGATTGTCTTGGATGATGCAAGTCCTGCATGATTGGTGACAGTCAACGTGAGGAAGTAGTCGAAGTTGCCATCAATGTTGGATGCATCTATGTTGATCCCGTAGTCAGCATCATAACAGTCGCCGATAGGGATACAGAAGCACCTGTCGGACTCACAGTCCTCAAAATCCTGAGTGGGAGGGGAGAAAACAATTGGAATTTATTATGATTATTCTTCTTTTTTTATTCCAGATGGATCTCGATGAAGTATAAATTTTGGAAAATTGTTTATACATTGTAAACCAAGAGCATTTCGCAAGACACACCCAGTAGGGTATTTTATATTAGAACTCTCTTAGGACCTACTGTAATGCAAAGTACACTTTTCGAAGACATACATGTAACTTTGCGAAATATTAAGACGTTCTGGAACTGGAAAGGAAATGAAACTCCATTGAGAATGTGAGGAATTTGGGGAGGGCAGATTGTGAAAACATTTACATATATCACCTTTTTTAAATACAAAAATGACACAATTATTTTCGAGGCAAGGTCAATCGGGTGAAGGTTTTTGTAAACCGAGCATTTGCAACGTTTTTTTTTTTTTTCAATTTCATATTGCTAGCTCACTCAGTTTGGTAAAATATCTCAGTTTCCTTACCGCATTTAATTTCTTGGCTGCCACTGTCTGGCTGCCATGTTCCATCTCTGTGCCAGTGTGGTTGTCAAAGAGAAGCAACTCGATGGTCCTTACTCCGCTGTGAATGTCGTAAGTCCTCCATTCCACACTGATGATGAAAATATAATTTGACGCTTTGTAATTACTTTATATGAAGAACAATGTCGGCCAAAACCATAGCCAAACTTGTATCTAACATCAAAACCAGACCAGAGAGCAAAGCCCAAACACGCTTGAAACGAAACAAAGTCAAGTTAAATCCAGTGCGGCTTTCACATACCTTATGCCCGCCAACTTTGGCACTGACAACAAATCTTCAATGACTGGCGGAGATGAATCAGCGTGAACCAACACACTGTCCCTCACAAAGTGACCAGCTAGGTCCCTGGCCTCCACCCAGAACCGAATGGAATCGCCGTCCACTAAGGTCAGGTTATAGCTCGCCTGTGTGTTTGTGCCTTCACTACTCCAGTTGTCCGAGTTGTCATCACTCACGTTGACGGCGTTCCTTCCACCACTGTGGTCGATGTCGTATAAGACGCGGAATTCGGTCACACCGAGGGCGTTAGGGACGGCTGCACGGCCACGCTTCCCAAAGTGCTGATCATAATCTACGAGAAAAATTGTATGTGTAATAAAACCAATATAATAGCTTCGGCTTGCGGTAACACCATGTGGTTTTGTCTACTTTTGCTCAGTAGATTTAGTGCCGATAAGAACTGTCCTGCTAGATCAAAACAGGAACTTGTCTTGCTTATTATGTACTTTCGCTAAGTACATTGGAAGGCGGTGGGACTTCTCGCAATTACCTTCGTTGAGCCTGAGTGAGATAAGTTTGGTCTCAACGTTTCGACTAGCCTGCTCTACTTTCAACTAGGCTGCTCAAGTTAGTCAAAGTCAAATATGTGTGTCCATTTGCAAAACCTTTGTCAAGTGTGGTAGAATGTTTTAATATTTATAAGTTATAAGCGTTAATAACGAATAACTGATATGCGAATTGTACAGAACATGATTTTCGAACAATGATTATTGTACCATGCTCTGCAGCCCTCAAAAGATGAGAGTTTTGACTGTCCAGACTTCTTCTTTCGCGGAATATTATCCTCCTTTTAAAAACAGCGTCATTACATGACAGCAACTTCTACACTATAAAGTATACAAACTCTGATATGTTAAACCTAACGAAATTTTGTTTATCAATACAACAATTTAAAACCCTGTGATAACTTAATGTACTAAACTCACCAGCATCAATGGTACCACCAACATAGGACCCAATGGGCTTCAACCATCCTTGGCTGTGATGACGTTCATTGATGAAATGCCCTGTCCAATCAAGCTGCACGGATGTCGCCCCTTTGCTGGGGTCTAGATTGGTCAACCACATGAAGTCAGTTTCTTCAGTCGCCGAGACCACGCACAGGGAGAAATTACTCTGAATGGTGACGTCGTCTGGATCGTTGTCAAAGAACACGAAGCGTCTGCTCTGTCTGACATTGCCGGCATTGTCGACAACACTGAGGATGACAGAATAAACGCCTGTAAGGAAGGAGAAAAAAAAGCATAGAGATTTAAATAATGTTTCATTCCACCGTATGATTCCAATTTAAAGATTATCAATGTAACTAGCCGCATTAAAAATATATTTACATTTTTTTTTTTACATAACTCTCTTATACGACTGATAAAAAAAAATCTAACTATCTATTTTTTTTTTAAATTCAGTATCTGAAATTACCCAAGTAATCTAAATCACACACTCACAACGTGCGATGTTAGCATTTTATCTGCAAATGGGTAACTAATAATAGCCTTTAACGGTTTCAGATCGAGAGACAGGCACATTCAAACCAATTCTTTTATACTGTTCATTTTGAATATACATTCGCCAAACCTAACATACCAGGATGAGGCAAAGTGACATTTTGACCAGATCGTGCTCCAGAATAAGCGGCGGGACTGTCAAAAATTTCTGTCAGCTGGTTACCATGGCTACCTGACAGCTGTCGCACTTCAAGGTCGTATTCTTTTGTGCCAGCGAGATCGTCTGTCCAGCCTTGCCAAGAAACATTAATTACTTCCTATCATGAAAATGAAGTTGAAAAGATTTAGAGTATACAGGGAAAAACTAGGTGTCAGTTATTGAGTAAACTCAAGCAGGACATACCAAGCCCAACCACTGGCACACCAGGCCCGAACCATGGGCACACAAGGCCAAACCATGACCACACCCGATCACAACCACGGCACAACGAAAACCAACCATGGGCAGGCGCCATGCAACCATTGGCACACCAGGCCCAACCATTGGCACACGTGATCCCCAAAACGGGCACATCAAGCCCACCAATGAGCACTAAGCCCCAAAAACTGGTACACCAGGCCCAACCACGTACATACTACCTGGCTAAAATATTATTACTCATCTATTCGTCAGTTACTATTCAACTTAGAATAATTGTACCATATTTGAAACTGAGATGTAACGGCTGCTATCGATAAAGCTACTAGAACTGCTATATCACAGATACAGGAGGTAGCATCACTCACGGTTGGACTTATGAAAGTCACTTCAAGCAAAGAGCACGGAACATGCTCTGTGCTTCAAGCATGAGGACAGAACCACGACTTTGAGAGGGGTTATGTATTATTCACTGAGTATATAAGACTTTTTAATAACTTGGTGATAATAGGCCTACAGTAAGTCATCCTATCCAATAAACAAAATGATTGGATACAAATCTTGGTGTTCTACACCCATCACCGAACAAGCTACACGAGAATCTAACCTGTGTGGTAACATCATTCTGTGTATCCAGCATGGTCCTCCGGCATCCTCTGCCATCATCCACACAGTGGTAAGGGTCAACAAAGTCAAAGGTGAACGTTGAGAAATTGGAGGATGTACTGCCATTGTAGTAGCGTGTAATGATACTGCTTGAATGGTCCCTGTCATAGAGTTCCATGTAGCCGCCACTTGTTGAATGTACATCACATCTTAGTCTGTAAAAGAGAGATTGTGAATTCAGAAAAATGAGTATACATATACATATTACCTCATTGAGAAAGAATGTACGCTCGGCTCACACAACTTGTTCAGTCAAGTAGTTAAAGTGACGAAACATTTTCCTAGGCATACTCCTTTCTCAGTACGATGTCCAAACTCATTTTTAAATGAGGGTAGTGATTAAGTTCATAATACTAACTAAATTATTAGAGTTTTGGCCAGAAACGTATGTATTGACAAAAGTAGGTTAGGACCTACACATCTCCTGTAGTTGGTGTCCACGCGTTGTAGTCTAAAGTGAAGGTGATTTCACAGGATACCAGATCTGTAGCAGGATTGTTTAGTTCGGACGAATTTCCAGTTGTCGATGTTGTACAATTCGTCGAGCCAATTGAATATGTAACATTCTGATCCCCTAGTGCATGGGGAAAATAAAACCAATTTGAAGAGTCCAGCAAGGATGAAAATGCCGTTGATTATTCGACAGTATTTTCCTTAAATGTCGTTTAAATTGTTGCGTACATAAAACACAAATGACATGCCACACAGTCCTTGTTTGCGTTTAAACACACTATAGACATTTATTTTGTCAGTTACTTTTGTACTTCACTAACATCTCTAGCCATCAAAATGCTTTCCATTTGACTCTTAACACGTATACCCACAAGGATAAACACAAAAAAAACCTATTAATTATTTCATATGTTATCAAATTAAAAAGGACATGCCATTCTTAACTTACGATTCACAACGGCTGTGGCTCGTGCCTCCACAACACCAAGCCCAATGCTTTGGATGTATGGATGTCCACCGCCACTAAGGTCTGGTAGACCAGTAGGCTGGTAAGAACTTGTCCAGTTGATCCTCAAGCTCACAAAGTCTTGTACGTTGGTGTAGACAGTGTCTGTACTGCCCTGGACGGTAGGGGATTCTAGAGTTGTTGTCCCATTGATCAGGGTGGCATGGTGCTCGGATAGGACTGGTGCTTGACTGATACCCACTGAATGAAAAGTCACAATTCAGTTACATTGCCAATCATGGGTACTAAAAAGAGACGACAATGTAAAATAACAACAAAAACTAACGCGGTTCACAATAGCTTCACCAGCTTGTACCTATGCTGCGTCTAGGATTCACTCAGTTCCCAACTAGATCGAATGCGGATGGGTCTCTTCCAGTATCCCGCTGATTTTCCGGGTTTATGCTCCGCCTAAAATTAAGGATTCCTGGTCATATTGTGGTATAGTTTTTGACATTTCAAGAGTGATTCACAGTGGTAAAAGTAATCTGACCCTTGGGCAATTCAATTTGTTTTGGATTTTACTTTATGTGAAATACCACTGTAAATCTGCTTCCTATAGGTGTTGTCATTGAGAATGTCACTGCGAAAAAAAAAGTTATAAAATCTGAATTATGAAATGTAAACGAAATATATAGATCGATTTTAGAGCGGAGGGAGAGGTATAAGGAATTAGGAGGAGAAATGTCAATTTGTGTCTGCATGCCTATACATGATTTAAATCAGTAGTTACCGCAATAGTGTAGGGCCATTAACCTCAGTGGGTTATAGCAAGTTCACACAAGCCTTCCAGGCATAGCATTTATGATTTGTAAGGCAGGCACATACTGTAAGGAATCCTTATTAGAAACTAAAGTGAATAAAGTTAAGAGCTCAAAATATAATACTTTTTTTTCTTGTCCCTGTTACATCTTGCATTTATGTTTTTATGCCTGTAATGGCAGCCACTCCTTAATGCATTCAACCTCCAAAAGCGATAATGAATAGCATGGACTACCTACCCGACAAATAATAACTTGTTTAAAGTACCCATGTATCAGATACAGGGAAATGCCACACTTTGGACCCTGATTTTATAAAATGACCAATGTTAATTATGAATAATAAAAGTTGCTTAAGAAGCCATATTGATATTTACCCAGTGATAACTACATTGAAATATTATAAGATGGAATTTTTGCGCCGGGGTGATATAATCAAAAAAAAAAAATTCCATCTTATGATAGTTTATGCGGTACCCGCTGCTATGTACATCAGATTCGAACCGGCCAACCGATCCCGTTAGCTCGGTGGTCGAGTGGTAAGACATCTGCACTAGAAAGCAGGAGGTCGTGGGTTCGAGTCCCACCCGAGTGATTTTTTCCAACTTTCACTCGGGAGGTAACACACTGAGTATACAGTGTTTAAAACGTCGGTGAAGGGCAAAACCTAATTTGATTTACATTGAAATAACCTGGAGCTTAACTACTTTATTATTGATAATCGAAAATTAAGAGGTAGTTTAAAATAACGCCACAAACTCACTTGTTCTGCAGTCAGTGCCTGAGAATCCACTGCTGCATGTGCACTGGGAATTTGTGCAGGATCCCGGGTAGCAGGCATTGCTGTCACTCCTCCATGAACATTGCTCTGACAAAATAGGAGCAAAAAATTGAACATCAGAGCAAGTAAACTGCGAGCTATTAATGACTGCAACAAAACGAAAATGAAGCGAAGGAATTAATTTGTTTACCAAATATATTTTTTGGGTACAGAAAAACAGCAGCAGCAGCGGTCGATGGGGAAAGAAAATGATATAACGAGATTCAAGTTGAGGAAGAGATTCAGGATGAAGTTCAGGATGAGAGTGACGTTAGGGATGAGGTTACGGATGAGGGAGAGGTTGACGATAAGGTTGAGGATGAGGTTGAGGTTCAGGATGAGGCTGATGATGAGGTTGATAAAGAGGTTTAGGATGAGCTTAAGGATAACAAAGAAGTTTAGGATGAGGTTGAGGATGATAAAGATGTTTAGGATGAGGTTGATAAAGATGTTTACGATGAGGTTGATTAAGAGGTTTAGGATGATGATAAAGATGTTGAAAATGAGTATGGATTGAGGAAGAGATTCGGGATAAGGTTAAGGATGAAAATGAGGATGAAGATGAGGCTTAGGTTGAGGTTGAGGGCGAGGTGACGTTCTGGATGAGATTTGGGGTGAAGGTGATAATGTAGTTGAAGATGAAAACGTACTAATGCATTGCCTCATGTTATCACTCTTGTTGTACGCTGATCCCAGCGCTGACCCATAATCACCATCACATCGATCACATCTCTGGTCTGAGGAAGTGCTACAAAATACCTCAAGGCAGTTCGCGATGGTTGTACACCCTACACAAAGTAGATGCAATGTTTATTTTTTATCAGTTGAAGACTTAGACTTTGAATACTTAAATCTAGGTCAGGTTGTCATGATAAAACAGGATATGTTTAACTTCAATTTCAATTTCTTGGCTTAAGAACTCATTTGACATGTCTCTACCCAGTAACCTGATAGCAAAAGTGAAACCGTCGTCCACATTAATGTGAAAAGCTGTTATACACTCTCCCAAAGTCCAAATGTTAAATCACTAAAATTGGTCGGTCCCAACACTTATTTGGCTATGTCCTTTTGAGACAAAAGTCCGAGTAACTGTTCTAAGTGAATCAAAAATGATGTCATGGATAAAAGCAGTTTATGTCATTAAAGCTTTTTCGTGATCACTCACGATCGCATCGTGGAGAGTAGAAGCCTCGGTTACAGTTGCTGCAGTAGTTAGGACTTGTGCAAGCCCCTCCGTTGGTACACGAGACAGTAGAGCCAAAACAAATGGCTAAGAACGAAAAACAAGAATGAAATGTGTGATCTTTGCTGAAAACTCAGTTCAAATTCAAGACGATATTTGCCAGTCGTTTAAGACCAAACCATCGAAAATGTTATTGAAAACGCTTGGAGTGAAAACCAGGCTGCCTAGATCGGTGACCTGATTGGTCTGATTCTTTTGGTATCAATTAACGAAATTAACTTACGAGTTGAGCAACCAGTTGATGTACTTCCGGTCCATCCTGTGCAACACCGGTAGCAGGTTACAGACCTAAACAAAAATTATGAAATGCTTGTATTTGGAGCAAAATACTTATGAGGCTAGGCCTCGTCTGCTTCTCGGTCCATAGCTTATGGATACTTTATGTGGACATCCCTTCTGTTCTTAACTTGTGCATGCACATTTGAAAAACGTTGCCATGATTTTTTTTAATGTTCTACATTTTGCACGCAGTAGCCCGCATTCAATTGATGCCTCTTAGATTGTTTCAGAATTATGAACAACGTGCGGATCTGTGCAAGTCTACATAACATCTCAAGATCCTGCATCGTGGGGACACTGTCCACACAGCGACAGTTCAATGACAAATACAGCTGGATTAAACTTAAATGAAATCAAGTCACACTATGTATAGTTTGTTGGAATATAAAGGGGACATTGGGAATATGGTAATACATGTAATAAAAACGAGGACGATGCATGATGGAATAAAGTTTTTAGGCCTTGCCTCGGTCCTTATTGGGGAAAACAGAACTCAGACCATGTAGAAGTGTAAATAATACAAACCGGTGTCTGGTACATCTGCTCCAGCCCTGAAAACCGCAGCTTGTGGTGTAACGTTGAGAGCAGCTATACCCACACACCGTGGCCCTGGATGACAGATAAGGAGAAAACAACCATTTCTTCTATTTTAATTAATCATACAGGATGAGTAAAAAAAAGCAGAACCCAAACCTCCAAAATTAAATTTTTCATATTTAAAACAATATGTAGCACCAAAATAATAATGACTGGAAAGCCATTTTCATAAGCTACTTGTGTTTTAGATGAAACAATTACTGAAATTGCTCAATCCGTTCAAAGAATATCACCATTTCAACACAATAATCCTAAAACCTCTTTCGTCTAAAACATGCGATTTCAAGAACCGTCGTCACAATTGTCTTCAAACATCACCAGCGATAAAACCTCAGTTTAAAAGCTACAAATATTCAACAAAGTCCTTTTGAAGGCTTGTCTTTTAAAAAAAAAGGTGGATTTTATACATCATATTGTTTGCCTAACCAGGAATGTTAATCAAGATATTGTGTACTACAGTTGTTGACAGTTGTTGAAACAAGTATTCTGTGTCATTCTCTTTGTTGTTCCAAACAGTCAGAATACACGATAAATTGTTTGTTTGTTTTTGTTGGACGAGACAGGTTTTAGGTCATTGCGTTTAAATGGTGCTATTCTTTGAACGGATTGAGCAATTTCAGTAATTTCTAATAGCTTATGAAATTGGCTTTCCAGTCATTATTATTTTGGTGCTACATATTTTTTTTAATATGAAATATATTTTTTGGGGTGTGGGTTCCGCTTTTTTGACTCACCATGTATGCCACTCTGATACACAGGCAGTTAGGTTTTATTGGAAACGACCGCTCATGCACCCCATGTAGGCCTATACCGACGTGATTTGCAATTTTCGTTTTGCGTCATCAAGAGTTCGTGGGGGAAAAAGGGCTTTGGAAAATCGAAAGGGTTTCGGGGAGGGGGTCTCCGCACTTTGACTGTGGGTTGCACTATTCACAGAAACTAATTAGTTATGCGAACAAAATGAATATGTACAAATACACTCGATTTGTGTCCTTTCACAAGAGTTTTGACACATGCGACGTTGTTAATGATACCCATGTATAATTTTGTGCAGGGCTGTGGGTCTACTGTACTACAGTATACAGTGTGTATCAAAACAATGCTAACAAAATACAACGAAATGCCAGACGTAGCATGAGTAACCAACATAGATAAAAATAGGTATGGTTTGATAGATACGCCTTTCCACTTTAAACTGAGACATCAAATGTCCAATAGACAAAGTTATGAGTAATTGTCCAAGAGAGGTTAAATTGACCATGGGACCAAGTTTTCAATTTTAGGCATTGGGACAAAGGTAGCCTAATTGCCTGTGTGTGGATATTTGCCTGGCCTGCACAAAAATGTGTTTAGCGAGTAAACGCAATTCTAAACACTTTCTTGCTATCACCTCATGCTAAAAATGTTTAGCATGTAAACATGTTTACAAACTGATAGCAAGAAAGTGTTTAGAATTATGTTTACTCGCTAAACACATTTTTGTAGGCCACGCAATTATCCACGAAGGGGCTATTACTATTAGGCTACCTTTGTCCCTATGCCTAAAATTGAAAACTTGGTCCCATGGTCAATTTGAACTCTCTTGGAAAATTACTCATAACTCTGTCAAAAATTATCAGATTTGGACGTTTGATGTCTCATTTTAAAGTGGAAAGGATTATTTTCCAAACACTACCTATATTATCAATGTTGGTTACACATTCTACGTCTGACATTCCGTTGTATTTTGTTTGAAATTTATTTGATACACACTGTATATAGCCGCTGTTTGGTCCGCTACAGGCAGTTGTTAGTGTTTATAGTCATTTTGAGAGTTATACATTTTAATATTGAGATAGTACAATACAAATGTGACCTGCCATAGCATAATGAGGAATAGCCCCCACATTTGACTTTTCAAGTTATGTACATAACGTTAAGGCGCAAATCATTGGCTTTCCAATGATTCCAAATTGATTTCTTTAGCTGGATCTATGCTAATGATATGCCACAGGAACTTCAACAGTGTCCCGCCAATCTTCACCAACCTCACTTCGAGAAAAACGGCTTTGAATAAAAAGATACGCATTGCGCCGCCAACGGCAGTGATACACGATCTTCACTTTCTCCACTTTTGGGGGTATTGTTTCCCAATAAAAATGCGTAGTGTGAATCTTGGTTACCTTGACTACTCAAAAATACAAAACAACCAATACAAATCTTGACATGATTTTTCTACTATATCAAACTTACGGTGTCGATTACTCAAAACAAGGTTTTAGGGGACATTCCTCATTTTGCCTCAGTAGGTAACAAATGCTATTGGGAACCGAGAACCGAGTGCATAAATGTAGCTCAGTAATGATATTGAAAATCAATGAGCAGATGGGCATTCATTTGTGCACTGGAACATTAAAAAAATGAGAAAGAAACACTCACTGTGATAGTGGTAAATTAATTGCAGTGAGGATTGCGATCCAGCAAAATAACAACATTGTGTCCGGTCGAAGCCTCAAATTCAAGCCAAACCTGTAAAAGAAATTGTGTTTTTGATAATAGACTTTAGACAAGCCGGAGTTGTCGGATCGGATGTGCGACGGTCAGTGTTAATGTACACAGTCATCACTGCCCATAAACGCCCGCACCGATATCACCACTATGGCAATTTATCTCGTGGCTATCAGCATTAAAACATAAGTATGAAATACATGGTACAGATCAGTGTGGGAGTCCAATTTCTACATCCTGTGACGAAGATATACCACCTCTAAGGATATACTTCTGCCAAAGTTTGCTTAAAAAAAAGCCACCATCCGTTGATGTGTTGTACCCGTTAAGTTTGTACAAAGCCCCTGTCGAATATTCAGGAACGCTTGAAAGTTTTTCGTTTACTGTAATCAAAGTCATCCACCAATCACGGAGACTCTCTAAATGTTGTCCAAGGTTGGTTTAGTTTGTTCACTTTTTTCTTTCATTGAAAGCATTACCAGTGAAAGTAAACGTGAATTTACTCGTACAAATGCACTTGTTTACTCGTGTATTTGTTTACCAATACAGTCTAAGAATCAAATTTTAAAAATAAAAACTTCGAGACTATGCGATTAAGCTAAATGAGACGTTTGTTGGGATTTTTTTATTTGGATATACAGGCCAAAATGGGGACACTTCATCACATCACTGTATCACATCTCTTGGTGTTCCAACTTCCATAGTTTTTGAACTAAAGATGGTATCAGCATGCGGTTTTTACAACAATAACGGTGAGATTGTGCTCTTTTCAAATCTGTAATAAAAATATGACCATGCAGGGTCGACAAACGACTCATGTAGCTTGATCGCATCAAATTATTCCCATGAACTAGTGTAACGAATTAAGGGGGAAAAAGCAATTTAAGGCAAAATAAACGCCTTAACTTTATTGATTTATAACAAACTCACCTTGCAATGAGCGAGTGCTGTGTTCCTTCAGCACAGTGCTGCAACTCTCTGGCGAGTTTTGGCCCCCGCACAGGTCTTTGTTGAGTTGGCAAAATAAATATGACTGGTTCCTGTTTGGTTTTTATTGTTCAGGGATCAACGTCAACCCAGTGTTCCTGAACCCGTGTGCTTCGGGTAAACCTTCCGCAATTTCCAGCATAAAGACATGTATAGTGACGCACATGGGATATTATGTGGCGTACCTAGAAATTGTCATGTGATGGAATGGGGGAGGAGTTAAATACTGCAGAAAGATTTATGTTCCGACCATATTTGGAAATTCGGAGCGAGTGCGAAGGAGGGCACCATGTACTTGACGCTCAGACACTGTTCATGATGAAATAAGCCAAAACGTACGTAGGCCAAGGGTAACATTTTATACCCTTCCAGCAGTTATACTGTCACGGTTATACTTTACTTTATATCCAATTATTTGCCTCGGGTGACTTCTGTTCTTGTTTCCCCATGCACTCCCTTTTGGTTCAGGTCGAGGCCAATTAATTACGAATTTGGTCCATTTTGTTCCCTATAACGTTTCATCGTTAGTGAAGTTAGGGACTGGACGTTTAGAGTGAAAATCACTCTTATATTTGATTGAAATAGTCAGAAAAAAAGAATCAGTTCAGTCTAAGCTCGAGTGAAAACTCGATTTTTACGATTGAACAAATTTCACTCTAAAACGTTTAGTCCCTAGTTTCCGACTGTGGGAGTAAATCTTCACTCGAATGGAGTGAATTTCATCATCTTTTAAATTTAGAGCGTAAAATGGGTCTTTGGAGCAGTCAATTTATGGAATCATTCAAAGTGGTTTAATAAGTAAACAGCGAAATTGTGCCATAAAGGATTCCTGATGAGAATTCTTCAACATTACAAAGAACATAAAATTGGATTGATATTTAAACTCCCTTGATTTATTTCTGACGATTTTGTTGAGAAGAATAGCTTCATATATATGCCTAGCCCGATTCGGCCACTTTTCAGTGTTCACAAACCGAGAATCCCATTAATGGCAGAAGAGCTATATTGTTTAGAATAACCATCATTGCCGGGTCTATATGTACTCAGCTTGTTAGCGAAAGTACTAGAGTAGAATAATTTGCTGGAAATCATTTCCTGGGCAAAAATTCTGACAAACGTGTAAATATGAACCAGATAAATTGTGCACGCATGCCTGCATGGGAGCCGAAAGGGCCTATAGTCAACCCACAGGTAAACGGGTAAACAAGCATTGTGCCCGTTATGGTGAACAATTAATTTGGGGTACCAATGCCCTACTGGTACGGCAAGCTCATGACGACAAGGGAACAAACAGTGGTACCAACATTCACAAATGTCGATGCATTGTATAAAGTGCTACTCACCCCGACGGGTAAAGGTATTTAGGCTCTCAAACCAGCCGTTACAAAACAGCCCATACAAAGAGCGATATTTTTTCAGACTATCGGCAGACTACGCAGACAGAGATTGATTGAAAAAAAAAGTTTTATGTCAGACATATTGTACACAAATCTTGAGGAAATAAATGAAATCGGCAGACAGGTTCAAAACACATTCCAATAGAGTGGCCCTGAACTGCAGCCGATGGTAATTTTGGGGTCATTGTGAGAGTGCCTTTGCTACGTGTTTATTAAACGCAAACAATGAAACACGCACCACAACTGATGTAAACAACTGACAAAACTCAAAAACTACACAAAATGTACTTGAACGACGCCGCAAGCCGGAAAAAAGTGGGGTTTCCCCTTATATTCCCCACTCTGTATACCGAATACAGGGGCCTATATAATTATTATAACTCTGGAATTAAAATTTAGATTGTCACCCTGCATATTAAAGTACAACACAAAATGCTCCACAGACCAGATAATACAATAAAATAATATAAAGCGAAACAGCAGCCTCTAAATAATATTCAGCTCTCAATTTGACATACATTTAAAGACATATTTACAAATCACCTCATTCAAAATGTTTCTCAAGACCTAGCCAGTAATTATTATTATTATTTTTTTACAAATAACATCTGACAAATACAATGTAGTTTAGTCCTATACTTCGGGTCCGTAAAATGGACTAAACAGGGTTTGAAATTAGCGGTAGCCCGCTAGCCAAATGCTCGTCAAAACAGCGGCGGGCTATTCAACATATTCCTTAAGTAGCCCGGCTGGCAAGTCCAAAAAATTATCGGGATATGGCAAAGATGAAAGGACAGGTAGAAATAAATCATTAAATTCATATTGCATTTCAAATGGGTCACCATGGGCGGACCTGCAACAAATCCTCCCAAATCTTCAGGGTGCCGATAGACTATCGGCCGATCAAAGCAATTTCAAGAAGAAGAAAAAGTAGTGGGGGGGGGGTGGTGATTTGGGGTTGGGAGGAGCTGGAACTCATTTAACACCATGAGGGCGCTCTATAGCCGGGGAACAGGCCCGGATTAAGTGTTTCGTAGGCCCTAAGCACCAGTGTTCCGAAGAATGGAGAAGGAAGGGGAAAAGGAAGAGGGAATAAGAACAAAGTGGAGAATGTAAATAATAAACACCACTGATCAAAACTCCGCGAAGCTAAAATCAGGTCCTGAAACCCATGGCAAAAGATTGTACATTTTGTCATGTCGGCACAAGCTGCCGCGCGATGTCGCTTCATATACGGGGGTTGATAGCTTCAGCTGTGCATATAAACAATATAAAAAATTCCACTATAGGATTTAAAGGCCCCCTCCTGCAGTCTGGGATCAGGGAACAAGCCTGAACAAGGTATGCACAAAGGTACTGAGCATGTACATGCAGTTTTGCGACAATGAAATAAAAACATTTTAGCTGGATTGAATTTTGTATTTTCAAGCAATTTTAAAAATTAATTTCAAACGATTACAGTACAAGCTCTCAATATAACAAATTAATCACTCTTGCAATTGTCCTCCGATAGAAAAGAAAGAAAATAAAACAAAAAGTTATGTGGCGATGGCCAAGTCTTCAGGAGTCGGACTTATGACCCTAACTCAATGAGCCCCTTACCGACTTCCATATAGAACTCTTCTGGGACTCGGTACCCGGCCCACCACACCTCCTTCCCTGTCCATCCATGTAACTCGAAAGTCAGGCACCATAAAGGGAGGAAACGAGGTGGCACCCTAAGCCTTGCTGCCGAGTCAGCAAAAGAACCCCGTACCTATACGCAGATGCCAACCTGGACTTCGCAGACAGTCCCAACTTGTGAGTCAGCTTACCAACCGACCGAGCTAACTGCTGTTGGTAAATGACGACGGAAAATTAATACACTTAAATGACAGAACCGCAGGCATCGAAACCAAAAAACGACACCAAGCGGGCTCGAACCCCTAACCCTGGGTCCGCTGTCAGACAGCTTAACAACTAGGCTGTTTCAGTTGGTGCTTTTCTCTTTACGTTTAAAACATAATCCTTATTTCTGCAGTGGGAGAGTTACTTTGTTTCATAGCTGCACGAAAGATGCATCAACATCGTGCTATACACAATGAATGCTGTTACGTAACTCTTTTCTACAATCACTCCTTTGTACCGAGCAGTTGACTATTCAGAGTAACTACGAGCAATTAACCTTACCAAGCTCGTCCTTATTCTGTCTCATCAATTATTGTTTCGCATCGCGCGTCTTTCGGCCGGCACTGACACGTCGCTATGATTGAGAGAAATTCTAGCAAGTTTCCCCTATACCTCATTTATTTATATCAAACTACTGACCCGTTTACAAATTTTTACGAGGGAATTGTGTTTGTCTGATTCTAATTCAGCTCCTGTAGCTAGCTTTGGAAATTTCATCTTTTCTTGTACTTACGCTAAGTCTAGGGAATGATGCCAATAAAATACAATGTCACATTAACGTCAGCCTGTGGCATGATTAGAATCGTGACCACGCGAGTGCAATGACGGCCAGTGGGTGGCGTAAATCTGTGCTGGCGAGTGGGGGGGGGGGGGGGGGGGGGGATGGGGGATGACCCAAATCATAAAATTCGGGCGATTCACAATACACCGCGCCACCAAGAGTTTGCCATGGAGAGTCAGTTTTTCAAATTTCGGTCGACAAAACAAGGCCCATTTGACGGAATAAAAAACCTTTTCCGCAAATTTTGCTGCAGGAAAACGGAACGCTATTTTCTTTCCTGCCGCAAAATTTCCGGAAAAGTTGTTTCATTCCGTAAAATAAACAGACCCTTAACATGAGTTTGGACATGTGTACACGGTTGTGGGTGGAATAACAATATGTACTTAGATGTATGTACTATATTATGTTTAGGTGTTTGGGCCGATGTGGTTGATTGTAATCACGCTAATTAGCATAATTAATATTTGCATTTACAGAACGATCCGTATAATTACGCCAAAAATACGGAATATTTCACTTTACGGAGTCCGTAAATTTACGGGCATTTTTAAACAGTGTAGGCCTATTGGGAGTGGGGGTCACAAGGACGGATCCAGAACACACTTTTGTTGGGGGGGGGGCTGTACAAATCAAGCCAGGCCAAACTGGTATAGGTCCTAGCTCTAACAGCCTGTTGGCACCAATTCTCGAGGGCGTCATTCGCTTCTCAAAGTGGGGATGGTACATACATGTGTATCTTGATCATTACTCATTGTGGGAGTGCGAAGCCTAAACGGCGCGGGATTCGGGGCCCGCTTAAGGGCCCCTGAAAAAATGGGATTCTAGGCGCCCTGTGGTGCGATCTGAGGCAATTTCTGACGACTGCCAAGGTTTTAGCACAAGATTATCATTTACACATCTTTTTCCGAGTTTGGAGTCATTAAATCAGCTGTTCTGAGCTACATAATCAAATGTAGGCTACATATTTTTTATTCAGGGACGAAAAACGTTGGGGAACAACATCAGTCCCCCCGTTCCCCACCGATCGACGCCCATGGTTGGCACCGTGCTTCAGAACGACAGACGTTACACGTACATTAGGGCCAATGCATTCATGCTGTACAGCGTCAGTTGGTGAAATCGAAAATTGTGAGAAAACTTTTTTAAAAACTTTTCTCTGCGCGTGTGGGTGTGTATGGGTAGGCCTATGTGTTTTATGGCACACTGCGGTAGTTTCATAGGCCCTCCCCAAAGTTTTTGTAGGCCCCCACATTTTTTGTAGGCCCCCACATTTTTCGTAAGCCCTAGGCACAATGCCTACATACAAGGGCAAGTTCGCACAAGAACTATTGTTGACCATTGGTTAACCATAGTTCGACTAAAGTTAGCCCGAACTCTGTCTAGTCGACGGTGGTTGACTACGCTAGTCCACTATTTGGAACCAACCTACTGGGGCTGGTTGCATCGCTGGCTACCAATAGCCGCGCGCATTAATAACGATAACGTACAGCAGGGAGCCAGGACCCAGAAGTTTTGCAAAGACATTTTGACCAGCGTTTGACTAGAGACGTTCCCACGTTGCTATTAGTGCGCAGGCGTAAGGTACGTCACAAATCAACCACTAGTCGACTAATGGTCCTTGCCCGAACTTGGCCCAAGCTGCCCATGTTCAGGCCTGAGATCGACCTCAGATAATTTTTCTCCCAATTTGTTTAATGAAATATGAGTTATGGGTCATTCTCTTGCCGTAAAAGTGGTTTGGGAAAATGGCTAAGTTTCGGGTGTATTAATTATAGGGTGCAAACCCAGTAAACAGGCCCAAAAAATCCGTTCGCCGACCTAATGAATAAAAGTTATACATCCAAATTATTATATATTAGAAAGTTCTGAGAGCCACCGAATTTGGGGATTTGAAGACACATGGCACTGCACCACATTACCCCTGGCCTGGACTTGGGGCTTTCATTCCGATTCTGAGCATTTCGTATGCTATTGGGTCCGATAGTGGCTCTGTTTAACCTTGTTGTGGAGGGACCCCTTTTCAAGATGGCTACTTTTCCAGTTTGGGAAATATCAGTCATTTTGGTTGGTGGTCTTCTTTGGCTGAGAATTTGTCGTGAAATCATTGGTCAACCCATCAAAAATTGAAAGAAAAATGAAAAAAGACATGTTGATCAGATTTTTTTTCTGTGCAGCATGAACACCTGTGAGAGTTTTTGAGTATTTTTAAAAAGAATTTAAACTGGAATTTATCACTGGTGTCTATGTGAATGTATTCACTGGGTTGAACCCCTATCGTCGAACCTTCTCCTTGGCTCAGCATCACAGCATGACGACATAATTATATGAGTAGAAATGATTGAGATAGCGTTAATTACACATGACTCACTATTAAATCCCTAACACACATTTCCGTAAAGACAATTAAACTAAGACACAAACTGCATGAGCCAAACAAGACATTTTTTAATAACGACCACTCAATGTTAAACACAGACGAATTTGGGTATCTATACGACATATAGATGATTGATTTCGTACGGAGATAAGGATCACATCCTTCTTACGAAATATCAGAACAGTTTTACAATAGATAGATCTGTCACATCAATAAATTCACAAATAATTATATTCATTCATCTGCCGTTTTAAATATTTTAAAAATAATTAAAAATAGTGCATTATGCATTAAAGATTACGTGACTTGTATCCATCTGGCCGGCAATAAGCATTAACCGAAAACATTATGTCTAATCACGTTAATTGTATGTAATATCCAGAATAATTATGTTATGTCCAGTATTTATTAAACATTTAGCTCTATTTTTTTTCTCTTGGGGCACGAAAGGCGAGGCTTATAAATAATGGCGTGGTAAGGGTTAAACTTCTGGGGGCACCTTGGATGCATACATTTTTCAAGGGGGCACTGGAGGCAAATGATTCATATTTTGTTCAATTCAAGATTTTATTGGAGGGCGGGGCATCCGTGGGGGGGGGGGGGAGACGGACATCTGTTGACACGTCCCCCACGTAGTTTTACGTCACTGCCTTTACGTCACGCTTCAACCGTAAATCTAAAAGTCCCTTTTTTATGATATAGGAAGGCCATTCATATCCAGCAAGAGATATATAATGTGGACAGTCTAGAGAAAGTTGAAAAGTTCTTACAATTTCAGATTATTAAGGAAAATCAGGGTTTTAGATTCCTCAAAGATCGGTTGCTTTCTTGTCCGGTAGCTTTCGTTTGTTTTGTTTTCGTTTCGTTGTCTCAACACCTCTTATGTGTCGTAAATACCTCGTGAAGGGTAGACAAGTACAAAGTACAGCCTGACAAAAAAAATACACCATGCACAAAAAACCCCAACATGATTATGAACAAGTGTTGCCGCTGGACAAGAGATGCTGGTGTTCAACAACCTTATAATATAATATTAGTTACAATTACACATATCGTCTATCAGACGGAAGCCGACCGAACTTCATTTCGATTTCCACTGAGCCATTGTTATTGCACATCCTACGCTGCTTGGGGCAGCAGGGCCAACACCAAATGAAAATATCCTTGAAAGCCCGCCGGTATCTCTCGCTCATGATGTTGTAAATGAACGGATTCACGGCCGAGTTGGTGTAAATCATGATCCTGGAGATGTTCACGAAGATCCACACGAGATTCGGCGGGAGTTCGTGGTCGTAGATGTTGAACAAGTTCAGAATCCGAAAGGGCGTTATGCAAATGATGTACACCACGATGGTGACAATGAGCATGCGCACCACTTGCTTCTTGATGAGATTCGACGTTAATCCCTCGACAACTGTGACGTAAGAGCTTTTGGCCGACCTCTGGAGTTGGACCATGGTGAGCGTGTACAGCACGCAGGTCACAGGAATGACAGAAAGAAGCAGTAATTGGTCAAATGTCAAAGTCTTGCGGATGCGCACGCACTGGACCGAATAACGCGGGTGGCAATACTCGCAGTACTCGATCGACTGAGGGAGCCCTTCTGATGCATTCTCTTGCGGCATATTCCAGAGGAGGGCGTACTTTGCTTTGACTGTGAACACCAGCGATGGGATTTTATAGGTGAGTGAGAAAAGCCAGACCAGTGCGCACAGCCAGACGGTTCGCCGTTTGGTGCTGAACCGGCGGAATCGAAAGGGCCAGCAGGTGGCTATGTATCTCTCAAAGGTCACCAACATGACAATGAGGCCGGATGCTATCACGGCACTGTCCGTCAGAAATATGTTGATCTTGCAGAACTCCAAGGGGAGATAGGTGTAGTCCCCAATGATGGGCGTGGTCAAATACTGAACCCAGAACTGGGGGACGGAGAAGAGTAGGAATGTCAAATCGGCCACCGCGAGGTTGATGAGATAATGGTTGGTAACCGTCCTCATGTAGAGATAGCGAAAGAAAGCTATGATGACTGCACTGTTGCCCAGAACACCAATGGTAAAGATAATAGGCATGACTACGATAATGAGGACCTTATCCACGAAGGAGTACACGATCATTGGGGACGTGGTTTCGTCCACCACGATGACATTGCCGGACGGGGGCGCTATCACATCTGTCGTGTTCAGCAGGATGTTCGTTGTGTGCGCGTCTGTGACGTACGGGCTCCAAGTTGTTACTATGGCACCGGCGGACGAACCGTCGAGAACTCCCGTCGGGTCGGACATGGTGCTGTGTAAATGAAAAGAAGAGATAAATGTATTCTTTTTAGTGCCGCAATTTAGAAAATGTCAGCAGGAAATCCTCCACTCAGAGAAGCGAGGAACAGCCAAATTATGACAAACTTCGATTCTCTCTTTCTGGTTTGCTTTCTTAAATCTGATGAGACTACGGTTGTTAGGGGAACAGTGGACATTTTTTGGAATATTTTATATTTCTGCAAGTTCCGTTTTCATTTCATGTCTTTAAGCATTATAAATTCCTGCGAGTTGTCAGTATGAAATTAGATTAGAATACATGTACATCTTTGTTGGCATCGAAAGCTTTAGCGCTACATCTCGCACTGACTAGAGGTAATTTTCTCCTGCATACCCTAATCAACTCCCTGAAGATGTAACAAACATCGGAGGACTTTCCTTTTTGGTCTGTAGAACCGTTATCCTTCTCGCTCCTTGAAGACGCAGACATGGAATTTGGAACATTCCCCCATTATCACACCCTTATAATGTCATCATCCTGCGCTCACTGAGGTGAAAATGTTCGTAATAGCAAAGACAGATTAGAGTGTCATACACCTGGAAGCCATTCGGTGCATTGCACGGGCACCGATGTTATTTCTCGATGGGGCTGCAAGGCAAATTGGAACGTGGCTTAAGTAATTAAACCATGAGGTGTCGGGGGGGGGGGGGTAGTGGGTTGTATAGGGTCAGTGAGTATAAGTCCTCATAAATTGATAAAATAGAAAGCACTCAAAGGATTGGCCAGGGTGACTCGAGTCTTGAAGTGCGCCAGGTTAAACGATGATGCATCTCGATGTGAGGGACATCTTGATACTCTGGAAAAAATTGGCAACCCTTAGATTCATTTTATTTTTGTTCAGAATTAACTTTGCCTCATGCATGAACCGCTTGAAATCTAACAAGGCAGACCCTGGTTGGAAATTCAATGCAGATATTTTTGTTGCGACTTTGTGCTTTTCAATAAATATTTTCCTTTCCTTCATTGACTTACCAATCTAATACTTCGTTTCTCATGATTATTTTGAAAACACACTTTTTAGATGCACGATTTTTGCAGAAGACCACGATAACAGTATCTGTAATTCTCTCTGTATTTTATTTCATTTCTTTCTGGTATTATGAAACCAAGGATTCCTCAAAAGCTCCCTATAGGCACTGTATAGCTCGCAAACCTGAAGAAACCTGCAAAGAGCAGACAATGAGAAGAAATTACAGTTTGAGAGGTGGGAGGAAAACCCCAGAAGAATATTCTGGGGAAAACCCACGGAATCAGGTAAGGTCTGAAAACCCAATCCACATGTGGTCCGCATGGGCAGGAATCGAACCCGGGCCATAGAGGTGGAAGGCGAGGAAAGTAACCAGTACGCCAACCTGACTCCCCCATATAGCTGCGAAAACCTATAATGGGGTCTGATCCCCAAAATAAGTGTGCCACAAAATGTGATTGGCTATCAATATGAATAACCATGATAAAAGCTCAACAAACGATTATAACGCAAAACAATTGGGGAAAAAGAAGAAGAAAACAAAAGATGAAGAACAAACGTATCCATTGAAAACCAAACAAAGCCAGCCGTTTCTTTATGTACTGCAATAATGCCACCTCTTGCACTTTCGTTTTGAAATACTCAATGTTATGCGTATACGCACACTCATACTCATCTAATTATTCACACAATTTGCTATCAACAAACCTCAATGTTGATTGTTTTAACGCGCAAGCCGGCCACAAATCTCCAACAAAAAATAAATAGGCCAACATGATGAATTGGCATTCTGTCAGCAGTGAAATCAGGATTCTTTCCTTCAAAATATTATCAAAACAGAAATAGTTTATCTGTTCGGACAATTATATGACAACCGAGTGCGCCGATAAGTCAAGAAAATGTGTAAATAAATTATGAAAAGAAAGCATGTCTTTTTTCTCTTTTTATCCCGTTGAAAATTCAGAACCCAAAAACACTACAGGGTGAGTAAAAAAACACAACACGGAAACCCAAATGTCAGGACCATTTAAAAAAAAATGAAATTCTGCATGTAGCATTTTTAAAATATAGAATGTGAAAGCCCAATTAATTAGCTTTCTTTTAGTACAAGTCATTCAGATTCATCAACATTATCTGTGATGTAAGATGCCGCCCAAAGATTGCGCAAGCATCTTTTGCTGTTCAGAAATATTTTACAACCCAGTACGCCGCTATATCAAGAAATATAGAAAAAACTTGATTTTTTTACTTCAAGCGATTGAAAGGAATCGACGCGTATTGAGAAACTAACAGTATGGGCAAATATGTCCCGCCGACATAATTGAGCCTCCCCATCGGTTAATGGTGCTTTGCAGATTGCCTCACTAAGCCATTACAGTTAGAATCCAATTTGGGCAAAAAATCAAATCAAACAGTAAATTGCTTTTTTTTTTACATTTTCAAATCAGTGCTTACAGCCTGAGGTGGTTTGTCTTATTCAGAGTGTGCCAAAAAAGTGCAACATTCAGAAAACAAATAATTAAAACTGTTATATACTACATTAATTATATATTACATTAAAGACTGACTATTTCTCAATCCACTCCTTTTTACCCCATTCCATTTGGGTCCCTAGATCCAGAAATACAATCGATTAAGTGGAAGGGTGTAAATTTTACTTGGGCCACTCTCACCTGGACATGCTGAATCTTAGTCAAGCATTGAATAGGCCTAGACATTGAATAGGCTCGGAAGTTGGTGACAGCACAGGTGAGAGTGGCCCAAGTAAAATTATTTACACCCTGTCTCTTAATTGATTGTATTTCTGGATCTATAGGACCCAAATGGAATGGGGTTTAAAAGGATTGGTTTGAGAAATAGTCATATATAATTTCATTGAAGAAAAATACATTTACCAGTTTTAATTATTTGTTTCCTGAATGTTGCACTTTTTTGGCACACTTGAAAAATTAATTAGAGGATGGTTTTGATTCGACTTGGAATTAATAAATTGCCATTTTCTAACTTGAACCAAAAAATATTTCATTACAGTGAGTTAAATATTGCCTATGACAAACATTCAATGGGCCAACCACGAGAGAGAAATCGCATTACCTAATCACAGGCCTGATGGCGGACGCAATATTGCGAACTAAGACTTCGTAAAAAGAGGGCAAGCACATATCTCCTCCGCCCGAAAGCCCGTATTAACAAAATCTAATCAACCTGTCTCCTAAAATAAGACAAGGTGTATTTTACAGGTCGCTTTTAATGAATGAAACAGACACTTTCAATGGAGATAATCGTCAAGCGGATGCAATTTGGTGTAAGAGCTGGGTTCATTCCCCCCGCCACATAAAAAGCAGAAGTGGAGATCATCAAGGGCCTGTCCGTGCTATATCGCTTATGCAATTCAGGCATAGTTTCGTCGCCATGCATGGTTTGCAATGACTCGTGTACTACATATTTTTTTTTTTACGGCCATCATTAAACGTGTCTGTTATTGCATTCTTGTAATAACATCTGTCGAGATACATCCATTCTCCATAATCGTCGCGAATTTGCTTTCTCGAGAGAGTCACTAGTTGTGTGCGACTACTCCGAAATCCCAAACCAACGCTGTCATGGTTTGAATGATCGCGCTTGTCGCGATTACATGAAACGTTAGCCGCAGTGTAATTCCGAATGAGCCACCGGTTGTAAGTACTGACACTTCTTGTGTTGTACCTGTACTATTTGTGACTTGGAATCGAAAGGAAAAAACAGCCAGTCGGTATAGTAGATATTAAGCCAGAGCGATCGTTCAACTCCAATCAAGGCGAGCGTGCGTTGAGCAGCGGGGTGTAAGTGCCTGGGCAGGCCCCGGGAAAATCGCACCGATCGCCTCTCGGTAAGCACCCAACGGGAGCTCCCGACTCTTGTAAAGACAAGTCCTAATCCTACATGGATTTTTCCCAGAGGGAAAAGTGTTCTCTCCGTCTCTGCCAAACTACGAGCCGTAGGGAAGAAAATGCCAATTTCAATCCATGATTGAGACATGGTAAAAATATAGCCAACGGCTCAACAAAATGCACCACTCAAAACCGCTCGCATTGGATGACAGTAAAGTAACTACCAGTTCAATGTATAGTTGGCCACAAAGTATCAATATTGAGGTTTTAATCTACAAGGTTGCAACCATTTTTTGCAAGGTTATATCCGTAGATCAGTCCAGCCACTGGTTCAGGCTGAATACCAACCTGAAATTGCTGACAAAGTAAAACAAGAAACACATTTGAAGTTGATGTGCGAAAGGAGTTATCAGGAAAGTCGTATGGGGAATTTCTCGAAAAAGTAATCTTGAGAAATACGTATATTTACAGTTGAAAATGTCTAAAATGGGCCATAAGTTAAAAACATACAACACCTCAGCATGGGCGTCGCCAGGATTTTTTTAAAAGGGGGGCAAAAAAAAATTTTGCCAAAAAATGCTTGTATTTTTCAACACATTCTCGATTTATCAGTTTTAGAGGGGGGCAGGGACATTTTGCCCCCCCCCAACTCATTAAATTTACACCACTTTGTCTTCGCGCCTCTTTTTCTTTTCTTGTTTTTCTTTTTTTTTCCTTCCTTATTTTTTTTTTTTTTTTTGCTTTTCCAGGGGGGGGGGGGGCAAGTGCCCCCCCTTGCCCCCCCTCGCGACGCCCATGCACCTCAGCACTGGCCCCAAGGAACACAACCAGGAAAAGGTCGTAAAGAAAACGTCCTGGATGTTCTGAGAGTACGACAAAAATCGTTATGGCTGCCTTGTGCAAACATCCCATTCGGATCAAAGGAAGCCTCTATAAAGCAGAATTGTCTTGACGAGGTTTCATATTTCACACCCTAGCCATGGTTTGTGAGATTCTTAATGAAAGTATACATTTAGAAGTAACACGACCACACGTATCTGACACGGGAGATACGCTAGGGTTAAAACAATATTTATGTGGAGGTACGAGTTACAGTGTGTTGCAAGACTAAATCATGATGGACATCAAAGATAGTG